AATACATTTTATAGTAATATTGGTCGTTTAATAAATTATTTCAATCCAGTTGTTGGATTTTATATATATACATTATCAAGTCGAACATTTCGCAATGAAATGAAATGTATGACTTTGGAAGGAGTGAAATTTATTTTGACAAAATTAGGTTTGGAAAAATTTATGCCAGTACAAAGAGAACAAATGGCAAGAACATTAGCAAGTAAAGGACGAACAGGTGTATGATTAATAAGAAACGGACAAGGAACGGTGATGAAACATTCATCGATATTTATTAACAAACATTCTTTGAATAGGTAACGGTCATAAATGTCCTTGAAAAAATGTCCTCGGGTATTGGTCCTCGAAGTATTGTTCGTAAGAATAAACGTCCTTGCAGAAAGTGTCCTTGGATGAAAATATTCTTGAAAGAATGTTCCGAAATGAAACATCTTAGAAAGAACGTTCACACAATAAATGGCCTTAGGAAATAGTCTTTTTATTAAAAAATTAAATTGAACTGGAATAGATAACTCCAGAGGATGTATGTTTTGTTTCACGTTCTCCACTCTTTTCGTAGAGTTCATGTATTTTATAGTGATCCTATGAAAAAGTTAGAAAATAAATTCAGTTAAAAGGAAAAATAAAGTTCATTAAATTTTAACAGAAAGCTTTTAAAATATCCTGAAAAATGCAAATATAATATAGCATTCATGTCAAATTCGTATAAATCTTTTATTTTAAGAACAACTTGAAATAGAGAATGTGCTATCTCAGTTATTGATGGTTACACGTTACAGTTGATGAATTATATTATCACTTTACCAATAGTTTCATTACAGAAAAAAATTTATTAATTGGACTTTTCTTTTTTGTTGCAAATAAAAAATAATATCGGAGATATTTAGAATTAAAAAAGTACTTCATCAACATCATCATCAAAATTTATTGATGACTTTTTTAAAAGGACATATGAAAGTGAAGGACAGTTTTCTAGTGGCCAATATTGTCGAGAACACTCTAGTCGAGTGTATTTCTTGAGAGAACAAAAGATCAAAATAACAATTATCGAAAGAAATTTTTTGCAATAGACTAATTAGAGGGAACATTGATGAGAGGACAGTTTTTTAGGGACATATATGACCTCATTACTTTGAATATATTATATATGTAAAAAGAAAATTTTGTAGTGATATTTAGTTTTCAACGTTGTTTGTTTGTTGTGATTACTTTATTTTTCTCTTTTGGCGTCTATTAGATGGTTCCTTATCGTAATCTATTTTCGTTCTTATATTCTCTGTTAACCAGAAAAGAATTGAATGTGT